TAGAGGAAAGTCTTGACGAATGATAGAAGCCAACGGCAGGCTGTTATAAAAGAATAAAAAATGTATCAGACTGTCTTTTTACTGATGAAGATTTTTATACCTTCTATTAAAGTAAGGTTAAAATTTGTTTTTTTTTATAGTCCGAAAAGAGAGACACTGTTGCTCTAAAACAAATCCTGTTTACGAATATTAGAAAATTTGTAGAATAATGTACCATAAGCATATTATTATCTCTTTTTAGAAATCATATTAAATCTGGATTTCATAGCGTGGTTCTAGAGTGTAAAGTTTTTATTGATAAAATATTTACTTTTATTAAATTTTAATAAAATGTCCCCTAATTTTTTACGACTTGCCCGATGAAAAGTTACCAGACCAGAACGTCCATACTTTGTCGCATGGTAATAGTGGTAAGACTAGCGCGGCGCCGTGCCGATTTAAAAAAAGCTTATTTATATTATTATTAAATATATTATTATGTCAACCAGTAGCCATTATAGCAGATGCGTTGAATATCAAACAATTTTTATTTTTTATTTAACCAAACTAATGCGTTTACGATTCGAGTCATGGGAGAGCGGTCAGGCCACTTTCAAATTATAGGGTTACATTTAAAATGTGATTTATTTCAAATTACTTCTCAAAGTTACAAACAGAAAATAATAGCAAAGATCGAAATAAAAGATTGATTTTGAGTTGTTCGGGAAAAAATTTAACTAGCACCTTGGGGTGCAGTTATCACATCACGTGGAGTTCTCGTGCACGCAATACGAGTATCACTTGAGAGGAGCGTGAGAGTTGGTTCCGTTCATCCAATCATGTCATTATACTGCCAATAATCTCGTTCCGACTACTAGTGTTACCAGTTTCATATTAACCTAATTGTTGAAACCTGAGCATCGAAGAATGCTAATCAGAGGAACAGAGGTAGCATGTCTGTATTATATCTCTTGGTAGCATTTGATTTCTGACAATTTTAACTACCGGCCTGTCAATTTAAACCGTCAGATTAGGTTTTTCTCAGAAACGGCGTTTCCGTGTCGTCAGTGATTAATTTGAATTGCAAAATTTCTCCCCGTCGATCATTAATCTCGATTGAATGGACTTGTTCTATAAAATTCTAGGCACCTGATCACCTTAAATGTGAAATTTCGAATAGTAAAGTAAAAATATAAAAAACATAGAGGAAGTTTTATTGCGTATATTTTATTATATTTATTGCAGCTCTTCACTATTCAAATATTCTAGGCCCAGCTATAACGATATTGGTATTTATTAAGTAACTCGAGCTAGCTTTGTTATCATCAGCCCCAGTTCAGATTGCCGCTTCACGTGTCCAATTACTTTAATGTAATGTTAAGCAATTTAAATTGTGTGTCAGATGTCTGTCTGTGTGTGTGTCTGAAAATATTTTTTCAGGTAACCGAAGAACTCAAAAATTAATACCCTCTTAAGCGAATCCATTCAAAATCTAGATGTAAAATTAAAAATTAAAAAGAAAAAGTAAAGCGGCAAAGAAGTTCTAAGTTCCAATAATTTTGTGAGTGATATGGGACCACTCATTTTAATTTGAAGAAAATATGAGTTGTAATTTTAAGATTGAATGTAAAGCTTTATACAATATAAAATGATTTAGGAGCATTAAAGTCGGTGCTATTTTTTAAAACAATTATTTGTACCCAAATGGCATGGAAAACACAGAGCTTTAGGCGTATCTAACGAAATTAAAGTGTTCAAGAATTTCTAGAAAGGCATTCCTCAGGCGATGAGCGAATAATGAACGTTTATTTTTGGCAAATTAAATTAGACAGAACAATAAATTACGGTTACTGAGTCATTATGCCAAAATCAAATGAATCTTTTACGTGTACAGTATTGATTAGGTTAAGGGCCTAAATGATAGCGGTGACCTTCTTTAATATAACTATAATCATTCATATTGAAGACAGCAATGTTGAACTAATATTAAATTACAGTTGATTTATTTAAAAATCCAATTAATCTATTTTTATAACGAATGGAAAGCAGATATTTATTGCTAGCTTGTTAAATTACATAAAGTCAAATTTGAGGATCGACCGTCTTTGAGAACTTCTTTAGAGCCCAGTTTTTGTATTTGTCTTTTTAAAGATTTATTAATCACTGAAAAGGATCTTTATCGATTTCTGGGCATATTTCAATAGAAAAACTGTTAATAATTAATACATAAACAAAACTATAATAGGGATGATTTCATTCACTGGGGTATAGTTGTTCATATAGATTTTTGACTGAAATTATAAGATCAATGTAAATTATAATACTTATCAACAACCGAAATAGGTACAAGATGATTAGTTAATAACAGTTTTAACAAAATAGTACTGAAAGTTTTAAAGTTACCGAAGAATTCCTTCATCCAAAAATTAAGTCAGCATAAAATTTCTCTTCTCGCAAGTCAATTAGATAAATCTGTCACTGTGTGTCCACTGGTTACTCCCCGAACACTTCACCTCGTGTTCTACGTTTCTAAGCACTGTGGTTGTAAAGTCAAAGGTGTGGGCGGCATTACGCCTTGAGCGCTATTACTCCGGTTTAACCGACATATCAAAGCATTGATGATGCCAATGTGGTTGTTTACAATAAGTTTAATTTGTGTTTTTGTTGTGAACCTCAAATGTATTAAGAGTAGAAGTAGATTTTGGATAGTAGTGCGGAGACTAGTAAATACTTCAGTCCACGTTTTATATTATTATGGTTTGACTAAAATCGTGCTTCCCTCGCCTTGGACTCAGGCTCTATTAATTCGTATGCAACGTCCTTGTAGAAATTGAAAGTTGTAATATTTCTCCTATGTTTTGATACATAGAAAGGGGTTGGACTGCCTTCATATTTTAAATCACATGTTCTGAAGTATTATTATTCTAATGTTTAAAAAAAATCTATTTTACTAGCAAACGTATGGACGTCGGCTTTAGGATCTGAGCCATTCCATTTGAATAATCAACTTACGTGATCTGTAAAGCAAAGTTTCAAAGCTTTGTAGATTAAAAACCAAAAAAATAACTACGAAATTGAATCGTGTAATGAATATAAATCGTAGCTTGTCATAAAAATACATATACTCTTCATAAACGTTCAATATATTTGTAAAAGTTAACACGGCACATCGCTTCATATTACAACTTGATTCATTATAAGTTTTGGGATGCCTCGGAGCCGGACGGGTATTCTTGAACTTAAATCAGCTATATTTAATAACTGGGACAGAATAAAATATGTCATGTTGCAATTTTTTATTCAATGTTAATTTTAATAATTTTCAAGTTAGTTTACATGATTTCTTCCTACAGAGTTTTTCATCAGCTAATGTCCGTATTTGTTTTTAAAACTTTTCGGCTTAGTACACCCATTTTCTTAAAAAGCATTAAAACTGCATTTTGCTTTTTTGATTAATTTTGTAATCTGGCCTCCAAAAGTGTCCTATTATAAAAAAAAAAGGTTTACACAAAGGTTTAACTAAATAAATTCAGTAGGTCTATAGTTCAAATTAGACTGACAGACGCACAAACAAGTTATTTAAAGAAAGAGTTGCAAGCTCAGTTTGAGTGTGGGTGTTAATAATATTATTGACAACTGTGTTGCAAAGGGACGGAGCCGAGAGTAAAAGCTCAATCAATTAAAGAATTTTGGTCAAAGTTAGCTTCTGGACGACCAGTACCTAGTTATTATATATATAGAATATATGAAGCGAGATAATGGCTCCGTCTGGCGTCTTAGCGTTTATACAGTACTGTACGTAATACAGTATAGCGAAGCGTCGCCAAAAATTAAAAAATTTATTAAGTATTAAAGATGTCTAATATTCGTTAGGTTACACCACCGGACACCACGGCCTCAAAGAAAACCGGTGTTAAGCAGTTCTTTCGTTTCTTTTCATCCATTGAGTTAGATTACCTTTGCCCAAGCTGCCCTTCCCCATGATTCTAAGGGAAAGAACTGCCTGGGTGGTGCATTAGTAACGTATGCGACTGCTGTGCTGAGGTTTCGGGTTTGATTCCCGGGTCGGACCAAATGTTTGTATAATCTGCATATATTTGTTTCGGAGTTTGGGTGTTTTTTATGTATGATATTGACGTTTTTACAAAAAAAAAGTATATAAGTATTCTATAAGTCAAATTAGTTTTTATAGTACAAGCTCTGCTTAGTTTGAAAGTAAATGGCGTTGTGTGTCAGATGTCTAAAATATTATATTATAATTTAATTCACGTAACATTTCATGCATTGTGATAAAAGACAAAAAAAGCAGAATTGTAACCACAATATTTCATCTACTTGGTCTGTAATTTGTGGTTAAAGGTAATCATTCAAAAGATTGTTGTAACCTGATCCTAAGGAAGCTTGGGTTCCTTTATTGAACCCTCATGTGTCACTCGAAATAGGTTTTTTACTGAACACGGGTAGCAAATTAGCGGTTTACCTGTAACAGTATGCAGTCACTCTAAACGTGGCCTAAAATACCTTAAGTATTTATTAAACTCGCGATGTAAATAGGTGTCGAAATCCTCACACTATGACCTTTGTGTGTGATTATGAAAGTGCAATTTAGGTAAGATTATTTAGCTCGCATCTCTGCTGTTTTTTGGAGACTGTAAACTTAACCAAATAATAGTTTGTCGCAACCTCGCATCTCAAATGTAAATATATCGGTTTTTAGCTAAACTGTTAGCAGAGTGTGATTAAGATGTCAGAAAATAGACGTAAAAGGTCGCTATTATCGCTATTTTTATAGGAATAAAAATCATTTGTAGAATACCATTTAGTCGAATTACCGAGAAATTCGAATAAGAGGGTCGGCAAATACCAGCCTTGGGCGGAAAAGGAAAATGCTGCGTTTTGATATCGCGGCTCGTTATGGGTTATCGTTATAATATTTTTTAACAATGGTAAATGGAGAGACTCTTGATCGGAGGGTTTTTATGATATTATGTAAGATATTGAATGTAATTGTGTTTGTTCAGGATAACAACACCGGCCAAGCGTTACTCGACGTGGTGTTCAGACATTTGGATCTTCTGGAGACGGCGTATTTTGGACTTCGTTACGTCGATCAAGATAACCAAACTGTGAGTATATTTAAATTAATTATTTTTATTGAATCAAAGATTTTCTGTACCACGTTTTGAAAATTTTCTGTATGTGCACTGATACTTATAGTCTACATAGTATTAATTAATTTATAAGAATATGGCGAACTAAAGTAGAAAGTTCCTTTTTTTAAACATACATGAATATTTTAAAGTTATTTGGCATTTAATGAGATATCAAAAATTACAATTTTTTATTTCTGATTGTTAGGCAAGAAGCTTAAATATGCTTCAAATATACATTAATCGATAGATTGAAAAAATATGCATAAGTTTAGATTTCTGTGTGTGTTATTTTCCTTTGGTATTGTATGACCACAATTGATGATAAGGTGAGAGCTATGGATAATTCAAACAATTCTCTACGAGATTTCATCGAAGTCGATCTAAGAACTTTTTTATTATTGGAGCCGCGAAGCTTCAACTTCTTATTTATCTTCAAAGGATTTTTATACAGTAAAGTAAGGAGTGTAATCAAAGTACAGCTTAATTGATAAGATTGAAAATTACATACTGTACATATCACCTTATTCGCTTACTTCTACTAGGTCATATTGTTGTTTCGAATCGGACCAACATTGATGTAATCCTCAGATAAATTATTCGCTCTAGTTGTTTTTATATTCATTATTTGTATATTAGTAAGTTCTCCAGTGTGAGAGCTTTCCTAAAAAAAACAAAGATATCAATTCGGATTATTAAGTACTACATAATTACAAATAAAGTTTTAAAGCTTTAAAACAACCGGAAGCTATTGACATGTTTGCTAATTCAACGAAACAGGTATTATCAACAGTAATTGGTTTTGCTTAATTAACTCCATGTACGAAAGGTAGAACATTGATACACACTGTATTTCCCTTTGGTCAATAACCGCGAGCGGAAAGCCATACCATTTATGTATCGGTAAATTATCTTATAATCTCGTCCGTTTTATTAATGTGGGAAAGAAGGACACGTTTCTTTCACCGATTTTCGGACGTTAAACTAGTTAACAAAAAACAGTAATGATAATAATTTATAGTATACTAGAAGACAGACGATGTCCTGTTTGAACGTAAGATTTACTTTTTGGTATCATAATTCATTTCGTAATTAAACCGCCTATCTAAAAAAGTTCTAGAATCGAATAGTAGCACCATTTCCGGAGTTCCATTGTGTATCTTAAATATCCAGGAACCTTCGAATAGGTTAGTTTAGGATTAAAAAGGATAACCTGGAAACACAAAATAAAAACATTAAAAACTAAGGTGCACAGAAAACTTGATTTTACTATCGGAAATTTTGAAACATTTTTATATCTGAAAACAATACAGCCTCACCCACGTAAAAATAATAAAAAAAAAAAAATTCAAAACTTAATATTAATTACTTGCAACATAATGTTATAAACACATTACTTGTGTAATACATCACTCATGTTGTCTCAGACGCAAAGTAACATTGTACACTGTTAAGTGAAATATTTTTGAAAATTAAAATTAATATTTTCTGTTGGTCGAATAGCATTGGTTAGACGCTGGCAAGCGATTGAGACGACAGCTTCGTGGCTCTGATCCCCACACTTTCTACTTTGGTGTGAAGTTCTACGCTGCGGATCCATGCAAACTGTTAGAAGAAATCACTCGGTAAGACTTCTTTACGATTATTTGCCTTTATTCAAAGATCCATTATTTTCAATTATGTCAATTTGGTACCACGCAACAACATGGTTCAGCAAGGTAATTTAAGAGAACATTTTTTTTTTTTTTTTTCTTTGCCTACAGGTTGTGCATGAATGTGTGTGTGTGTGTGTGTGTGTGTGTGTGTGTGTGTGTGTGTGTGTGTGTGTGTGTGTGTGTGTGTGTGTATTTGTAATATCAATGTAAAAAGGGAAAAAAATATGTTATATTCCTATTTATTTATTATATTTTCTGTAGTGTAATAGTCAAGATCTTGAAGCCATATTTTTATAGTACTTTTGCACCTTGATTTATTGAGTGAATAGATTGACAGAATTCTATTCACTATATTATATAGGCTTGCTCCTTGAAAACAGAAAAATCGATGCGCAAAGGTTGTGTTGTATTTTATTATTTCACAAACTCTATCTTTTCTACGCAGAGCTTTTACCTGTTCAGGTTTATAGCTAATGGAAGAGTGTTTCCTTAAAACTGTGTAGAGAATAAACAGTTGACGAACGGTCAACACTTTTAGCTCTCTATATAGATCAGCGGTAGGATGGAAGAAAGGCAATGAGTTACCCACTTTCAAAATGGCTCTTTGCGCTCTCTCAACTTTCAGCAGATGTGTCTTTGCAGCACACCCCAAGAAGTTATGCAATACCCTATCAATGATTCGCACAGCGCAAAATAAACTTGTTTGATAAGCTCTTTGTCCGCCACCAGTCTCAAATTTTTAAATACAACTATCAGTTTTCGTATCCTAGCTGCCAGAGCGTTAATATGACATTGAAAGTTTAGATTTTTATCAATTATTACGCCTAAATATTTAATATTATCCGCTGCATTAAGTTTTAGGCATTTACAAGAGATGTATCGTGTTTTCGCCACGTTCAACGTAAGGGTATTCATTTGAGCCACTTGTTAACTGTATTTAGACCTAGCTGAGCATCCAGAAACACCTGATCCCAAGTTATTCCACTAAAAAGAAGAGCTGTGTCATCAGCAAAAGTCACGATTTTGGCCCGAGGGAGTTTAAGTTTCACATAAATCGTTTATGTATATTAAGAATAAAGTTGGTCCTAGTATACTACCCTGAGGAACACCATAAGAAATTGACGCTTCACTGCTAGTCAGACCATCCATTTGAACACACTGTTTACGGTCTCGCAAATAGCTCTCAAACCAATTTAACTGAAGACCTCTTATTCCCAGACACTTAAGCTTTTTAGTTAAAATCGGGACAGAGACTGTGTCAAAGGCCTTGGCAAGATCCAGAAAAATGGCTATAGTCTTAAGTTTATTATCAAGTTTGGTAACTATAAAATCCGTTAAGTCATGGACGGCATCAGCCGTGGACTTTTTTGATCTAAAGCCATATTGGGCTTGTGCTAGTAAGTTGTTATTTTCCAGATATTGTACAAGTCGATGGTTTATAAGCCGTTCTAAAATTTTGGACAAAGTAGATAGAATAGAGATAGGGCCTATAATTATTGACACAGTCTCTGTCACCAGCCTTGAAAATCGGACAAATTTTAGATTTTTTGAGAGCCTCTGGGAACACCCCAGACGAGATCGATAAGTTGCAGATGTGGGTAATAGGATCCGTGAGTATGTTAATATTATTTTTAAGTACATCGGCAGAGATACCGTCGAGGCCCACGGCACAGTTTACCTTAAGATTCCTGATAAGAGAACTAACCTCCTCGGGGTCTGTTGGTAGCATAATAAAGGAGTGTGGGTTAGATTTTAAAATATTTGGTTGAGCTTCAGAGTTTCTTTTATTTTTTCAGCTAAATTTTTGCCTATGTTCGCAAAGAACGTATTCACATTATTTATGGCTAATATCGGGTTTTGTTTGTCTATTAATTCTGAGGTAGTTTCTTTGTGTTTGGTAGTATACGTGATTTCTTTTATTATCTTCCATAATTTCTTATTATTATTTTACTGTTCTGTAGCTGCAACTTTTCAAATTCAGTTTAGTTTTTTAATTAGAGATGAACAAAAATTCCTATATCTTTTGTATATAGTGCGGAGGGTATCGTTATCTGCTTCTCTTTTAGTTTTTAAGTACAAGTTGTCTCGATTTTTGAGACATTTAAGCACACCGGGTGTGATCCATGGTTTTAATGCTTTTCCTCTTTTAGAAGGTACAGTTTTAATTGTGTTGGGACGTAATTAAGGATTTTAGTATATTTACAAGAAAATCGGTAGCTTCGTTTACATTATCAATGGTATATAATGAACTAAAGTCGGTGTGCGTCAAGTCCTCTGATAATCTTGGATGGTTCAGTTTTGTTAGAATCTTAGGTGGTTTGATCTTTTGCTGAGCCGTGAGGTATAGTGCAACACTATCGTGGTCGGTAAGAGCTGTTTTTATTATTACGCACTGAGCCTTAAGTTTGGTCTTTAAAAAGATGTGGTCCAGACAAGATTTACCATGTGTCGGAAGAGTGTAAGCCGATTGAATGCCATGGAATGCCATCATATCCAAGTACAGAGTCGAATCAGCATTTTTGTTATTTTCGCCAATGTCTATATTTATGTCACCAAGGACTACAATGTTTTGTATTTTTTCATACTTTAATAGTAGATGTTTGAAGCGATTTTAAAAATATATTAAGATTTTATAACCCGGTGGACGGTATATTGCTAGTATTATTGTATTTAAGTTTGGTTTAAAAATCAGACAATTAGCCTCGGACATGTCCGGCTCAATAATTTCGACAAGTAGCTCTTGTCTATGGTAAATGACAACTCCTTCGTTTTGCGTAAGGTTTTTTGCCGTCGCATAACATTTATAACCTTCAATAACAGGAATGTTAGGGTAGATGGCAGCCAACACTCCGTCAATATGATATAATCCCAGCTTACTTTGGTCCTAACAAGATTAACTGAAAGTTCGTGTATGTTACGGTTTATACTTCTGATATTTTGTTGTAGTATCTTTATCTGGGAAGTTATATTTGATTGCGGTAAGAAGGAGTGACAGTCCTCAGCTGTGCAAACTGCCGTGTCAGCTATCATATACGAATCTAACTCGCTTTGAATATCATTTATATCATTGAATTTAAAAATTAATTATTTTATAGATCAAACAAATGAAGCTCAGAATAAGTGGTTCAAATATAGCACGAATTATTGATGCAAATATTGAGCCGGCCCTATATAAATCTCCAAATTGACTGGTGCCGGGATAAAGTAAAATTCTGTTTATGGCTAAATTTTTAGTTAATATGTACTCTTTATAATTAATGAATAACCTGGTTTTACCTGTATATAGGATATTATGTGTGGTGTTATTGATGGTATGTTTTGCGATATAGAAAAATGTAAGTATGTGTATGTATGAGGTATGTGCTGTAGTGTGTGGTATATGGTAAGTTTTAAGACAGAGTAGCAAAAAACAAAACAAAAGCCGAAAAAAACAATCCCTGGAAACACAAAAACATACATAAGAAATTAAAAATCATTAAAACTAGTCATTGTTGTTCCTTCAATTTAGTCAAATCAGCTTCTGAGTGGACAACTGCATGCGGTTGGCCTTCACGTTTTTGTAGAAAGATCCTCCCATTAGCAGTCCAGCAGTAATTGTAATTATTTGATTTTGCAAATTCTCGAGCCACATAAAAGAGTTTTTTCGCCTTATATGTCAAATTTTCAGCAAAATACACCGGTTTTTTGGGGCCATCAATTGACATCAGTGTTGTGTTGAATTTATTTTCTTTATTGCCCGAGTTATACTTCTTGACAGACTTCAACAGGTTTTCTTTTAATAATACGCTAGAAAACTCAACAACTATCGGCGTGTTCTGCTCATTCTTTTTATGAATGCGATATATATCACGGATATCAGTTTTTGCAGTGAAACATTAAGAACTTTGCCAGTGTTTACAATTAGTTCCGATAAAATCTTCCTTGGATTCCTTTAACTTTTGGGGGACGTTTCTTATTTCCAAGTTCGTCGTCTTTAGTTGACGTTCAAGGCTTTCCACTCTATTTTCTAGAGTTATGATGTAGTTGTGGTTCAGTTTTCTCTCACGTTCAAGGTCATTCAATCTGTTCAATAATTCGTCGTATTTTACAGATATAAACTCTACAGTATCGCGGATACTATCATTTTGCTTGGCTATTGAGCTAATACTTTCCTGTAACTTTGAAAATTTAGTGCTCTGTTCTGTTTTAAAAGCTTCGAAAATCTGCAGAAATTCATGCTTAAATGTACTAAAATCGTCTTCCCTCTTACGCTTCGAGCGTCGAGTAACATTTGGATTGGTCATATTGACATCGCATTCTGTAGACGCACTGTTTGTTCCCGAGTCTTCAATATCAGGTGGCAGCGGCGAATTAGTTTTTGGCGGTGTGCGTTTCAACGGCATTATGAGGATAAGACAAGTAATATTAAACCTGATGCGTTTTGCTGGTTGGAGCGGAGATAACGGTGCAGCGGTGTTGATGCTATACGTCGCTAGACGAATAATTTGTATTCTTCGATGTGCATACAGTAAACAGTTCGGACAGTTCGAAGGAAGGAACCGGCGAGATCGCGGTAAGAACGTCGTAACCGCCGTGCAGAGCGTGTCGCTTACCGCGTAATTATAAGACACGACGATGGTCACTTATTGACGGTATTTTGTTTTAATAGATAATAAACTTATTTATCATTATCTGGTTAATGCACTATTTTAGGCAGTCGCTTTTTAAAAACCCTGAACACAAACTTTGTAAAAACACTTTCACTGAAAAATATTGTTACGAAAATCACTTGTAGTGAAATTCTCGATATAATTATGCGGAGCAAAATGAATAAACTGTTAACTGCGCGGTATCCCAATTATTGAGTTTCTTCTACCAGTAGTCTATTATCAACTATTTTAAAAACTTTTGGGTCTACTTAGAGTTCATTATTAAACTTTTGAAACCATTACAAACAGAAAATGAATATAATTATCACTGACGTACTCGTTATCGTTAACTTTCGTTTTTTGATAGTTTAAATCGCCTATTACTTTTTTCCTATTCATTTTTATTGCTTTCAATGATTTGAAAACATGCATTAATGAATATTGTGTTTAATGATTGCATCAAATCATCATCAAAGATCACTACTTAGGTTCATACGTACTCTTTCCTTTATTAGCTGTACACGACTAAATGATTTCGCGGTTATCAATTTATATTGTATATATGTAAAGAAAATATATTTTCTTTAATTTATTGTCTACAATGTAATCTATTGGCAATTATTTGACATAGATGGTGCTGTAAGCAATACGATAAATATTGTAAATGTGATTAAGTGAATAATTTTATTATTCTGGCAATATTGTGAGAAAACAGCGCTTAAAAAGAGTGACCAACAAAATTGGGAATAAAACTACAAAATATAAGGGGAATTTAGAATTAAAATAATATACTTTAATCGCCGTTTCTTTGTTTTGCAGGTAAGATTAAAGATATTTGCAATAGATGTGTAGATGTTATAACGATTTACGTTAAATAAAAAACTTTGTTTTACAGAGCAACACGTGGATATTATTTGTTCTTCATTGCCATTAAATTACATTATATATATTTATATTGTATATTACAACAGTACGTATATGTACGTGTGTGTATGTATGCCTACTTAAATATATTTATTATTACACTACTGTAGCTTCAATACACCTAGACTATCCATTGTTTCGTCTCATCTACTGTCGATTTCTCCGTGCACAGGATGCCTGAAAGAGATTGCTTTTTTCGATAAAACCGCCTATTGTACATATCCGTCTGTAATATTTACCTATCATATTGTAATTTGTGTACAATTAAGCATATTCTCTTCTATTCTATCTCTATTGATATCGAGCGCAAAATCGTGCCTTAATTAAGGCATGATTTTGCGCTTTCATATAGTATTGCGCGATATAGTAGATGATATTTGTTATTATAACGAGTTTCAGCATGACCACTAACTGCATGTGAAAATCAAATTAATGGTGAACATTAACAAATTATACACAGAATTATTTATTAACGTGGTTTACTATTAAAGTAATGTATTTAATGTTCGCACACAGATAAATGTTTAGAGTAAAAAAAATGATATTTAATGTTGTATCTTTATATATATAACAATGGTTGTCTACTATATGCGTCCAAAGTTCAATTTAGAACAATTTTGACCGCGGATCTGGGTGTAAGATCTGAGAAGTTTTAATGTTTGTGTCCGTAATTAGATGTTTTGTTTCTACTTCTTAGGTGCCAGAATATTATGTGAAGGACACGCTTTGAGTTGAAGTGATAATAAAACACGCCTGTGTTTGCCCCGTGTATCAAACTGTCCTGTCTGTCATTGTTATCCGAGTTCTTTCATAATAAGGGTTAACAATTAGTTAGTAGAACAGTACTACATACCCTAGATACAGATATTTGCATATGTGGTCAGAAATCATTAAATGGTTAAACACCATTTAGTAAAATCGTAACAAACATTCAAACAAACAAACTCATCAAAAGCGATGAGTCTTTTTTTAGAATCAAAGACATGATTTTTTACAATTTATATGTCTTCTTTCAAAATACTTGTTTAATCACATTTTATCTAGCTTATTATTGCTTTTATTTAAGACTCATGCACATAATAAAAATTTTCCTCAGCTTGATTTATCGGACAAAAACGTAGACGGAATTCAATTTACTTTATTGTACACCAACAAAAAAGTAACAAAATAAAGCATATAAAATCAGCATGTTGAATAAGCGTTCTTATTTCTTACAACATTCTCTTCCCAACTTCAGATAAATCCAAAACTTTGTTTTGCGAATGAATAAATACTCATACCTTCAATAAACATTATACTAACTTTTGAACCCACCTTGTACAACAAAGTAACTTCGTTGATCAGTGTATTATACAAAATATCAGCATTGAATTTCACTATTGCTTGTCTCCCAATAAACTAAAACTTTTGTCCATAATTTTGTAAAACAAGCCTTGGGGAGCGACCCATTATTTAGACGTACGAGTATAACATGATAAAGCTGAAAGATAGAAGGATGTAATTAGTATAACGTTGTAAGGACAGTAGCAAGACTCATAAGTCTATTTGTGCTGTAGCTACATAACAATATTAACTATTATAGAGACGCATGACATATATATATATATATATATATATATATATATATAACGTACGTTCCAACTTTCATAATTGTCACATTGTGAACATAGCAGTTCCCGTTGTATTTATGATCACTGCTCTAAAGATCGTCAACTACTGTTATATAATATACTAGCTGACCCGCGCAACTTCGTCTGCGTATCTCAATAGTAATAAATTTTCTCCGTTTTTGAAACATTCTTCATTGGTGCTCCGCTCCTATTGGTCTTAGCGTGATGATATATAGCCTATAGCCTTCCTCGATAAATGGGCTATCTAACACTGAAAGAATTTTTCAGATCGGACCAGTAGTTCCTGAGATTAGCGCGTTCAAACAAACAAACAAACAAACTCTTCAGCTTTATAATATTAGTATAGATAGAAAAAAATGCATGCAAAACAGTTCAAGCAAATATTTCTAGAGCTTAGTAAATGGTTGCGATGGTATACAACACACTTACTACGATATTGCCGAGTAATGTCACTTAATTATGCTCTACTTATTCCTCTCCCAACCATTGAAATTTTATGTTCATAAAAAGAGGACGTCTGGTAAAGATATAAGAGGTGTAGTGCACTTGCAATAAACCCGGTTAGCTCGTAAACTGGCGTAGCTCTGATGAAATGAATGGCGCTAGACGGCACCGCGCAGCCCTCGTCCGTCAATAGTACAAACATAAACAGAGGAAATTCATTCCATGGACAGTTTTAATTGGACATCTATGTATTTTTAAATTGGCTTTCCTATAATATTTTGTAGTCCAAATGAATAAGAGACTGTTAATTTCTTTTTCTGCGGAACCACAATTTAATTTACAGCCTAAATATCTTTTGAAACGTTCTAATAAAGTTGTTCCTTCTTGTATTTCCTTTAAAGTTTACAACAAAGGCTACAATTGAAGTCAGTTAAGTGGAATTTTGAAGAGTTTTCATTTATTTCTTATTTTATTCCCTGTGAATGTTGGCTAGGTACAAGGATGTTTTATTAAAATTTCGTTATTACGGTGTCGACGGCGCACCCCCGGCGCCCCACGCGGCCGATCCGAGTCTTATATCAGGTCGTGCACGGGGAAAACGTCTTCTTTTTGGTAAACGCCGCAGTTTAATACTCGTAAATTCTTTGAAAACCTTTGCCTTGATGGTCTTTTAATATTTAATTTCCCTTTAAGGGCAATCTTTTCGCAACGTTTCTACCAAGTTTCATCTCGCAAGAAAAATGAAATAGGGTGGGATAGAGTTATTATTTTTTTACATTACAATTATTTCGTGATTGTAATTGTTTTAATTTTCTATGATTTATGTAAAGTAAAGTAGTATGTAACACGTTGTCAGGTACCAGTTGTTCTTGCAACTGAAGCAAGACGTGTTACGCGGACGGTTGCCTGTCAACTTCGACCTCGCCGCTGAGCTCGCCGCCTGTGTCCTGCAGTGTAAGTATTAACATTTATTATATATGTTCATTATTACTATAATGTATTATATTACCATGTAATGCTAAGTATCACTGAAACAAGTATTTAACACACATATTAAGTCCAGAACTTTGCAGTCATTATTGTTAAGGACATCTGTAGCATCTTCACCATGTAGGTAATGTAGATATATCTCAATCTGAAACTCTTAGAAAAAGTGTAATAACCATTAAAAGTTCTTACTATTGCGGTAAGAGGGAATAAACAAGTCGGTACATTAAATAAAACGACTTGGGGAGTGTATTCGTTGTAAACATTGGCGTCACAAATTAGAGCCTGCCGTGTTAGTGTAGTGCGGCGATAGTGGCAGTAAAATCCGCCAGTTTAAGTCGTGCTTAGATTACAAAGTGGCTTTGAGACTAGGAGGCCACTGACACACCAAAAAATATTTTTTCCACTTGATTCATCTTTTATTAATTTGATATCCATTTGAAGATGTACCTTGATATCAGAAAGCCAAAACACATCTCATATAATTTAGCATAACATTACTTAAGGATTTACAAGTTTTTGTTTAGAAATAACATCGGCACTTAGTTCTTAGATTCAGATATAAAACTACTATCTACTGCCATATCTGGGAGCACGGCAGTGCTCCGGCCAAGACGAACCAAGCAAAGCGCCAGGGCACATCTACCTTTTCTCGAAACAGTTCGTCCGTTTTTTGAGCCCTCATAACTTGGGTTTGGATTATCCCAAATAAATACAATTATCGGGATATGATGTCAATAATAGACTTATAAAACATATAAAGTTTTAATTGCATAGAATTTATTGAAATCTAAAGAACCCCGATTTCGACACTGACTCACTGATGATCGTCAAAATTCTTAGAAAACTTCCTGAAGTCCTAGAAATGTGAAATTTGGTCTGTAAGCAAGTATTACAACACAAACACCAAATTATTTTAAAACTTGTAACTTCTACCCCCAGCCCGTAAACTGTCGAAGTTTGTATGAAAATTTCGAAAATTTTGATGCCAGAGGTCGGAAAATTGATCTGGAGTTTTTTCCTTGATATAAATAATAGGTTCACCTACTCTACACCTTAGTTAAAATATATAAAGAATAGTAATAGTAGATTAGATTTATTATATTATATGGATACGTTGCGAAAAATAATCAGTGAAATATTCATCATTTTATTATATAAAAATAATTAAAGTCTTACTACAACTGAAAAAAAGTAATTTACTGTACATTAAGTTTGATATCGTGTGTAATCAACGGGTGTGTTTTATATTCTTTAACGTAATAAAATTCTTTTAGGACACGCAAAGGTAACAAAACGCATACCTATGACTGCCTATAAAGACATAGACTTGTCGCTAGGTGGGTGAAAATATTCAACACATTTGTAAGCGTGAATATTTACATACAAACTGCTAACAATGAATCAAAGTAAATATCAATAATAATATCGTAAAGTATCAAATACGAGAAATTTCGGCAGAAATTACATGAGACAAAAAAACAGGCAAAATTCCGCGTATTTTTGGTGAACGCAAACGCGTACCAAATTAATTATATCTGGGAAACGTGTAAATATTTTTACAAATGTTTGTTACGTCAAATCTTGGAACAAAATATGCTTGAAATTTGTGACTAAAACAACAATCAATATTCTATTCCTCTTTACGTAAAAATTGTAAATGTAAAACCGGCGAATGGAGCAGAATCCTCAATGATTCTGAATTGTATCAAGCTTTCATATCTGAATAAAGTAAATAAATAAAAAAATATCTGAGTATAATACCTGATTTTATGATTTGATGTTAAGCAATTAAATATCTAAAAATACTTGTATTAATAAGAGAAGGAAAACTTGATACTAACCCCTGTACCACCCCGTCTGGCCAGCGTGATATATTATAGTAGGCCAAAACCTCCTTTCTAAGGAGAAGCCTATGTCCAACAGTGGACTATTAACAGCTGTTGATGACTCAAAGCGAAATTATAGGCTTCAATAGACTTACATTGTATCTTTTTAAGATCATTTTACATTCACAGCAAATATAAGTGGATATTGATCGCTACTTTTACTTCGTCACTAGAGGTGGATTTAAAACATACCCCTAAGAATTGTTGACTGTCAAAAGATAAAATCTATTGAAATGACTCATCCATCTTCTTTATTTTTAACTAAATTGATTCAACTGTTCATTGAATGCCCTTCATTCGGACTACATTTGACCAGCAATAATAGCTAGTACCATTCTTCCTTGGATCTGCCAACAAGATACGAAGGAATATCTCTCCGCAAACGTAGTAAAACTAATCAGACATTCCACTTCGCTTCCTCGGCCTCAGTTTAACAGACTGCACTTCATTCTGATAACTAACGGTGTTACTGTAAAAGTTGTCTTAATTCTTTTTAACAAAACACAACCTGATCTGCTTTATTCACGTTAATGTGAGTATGTCATTTCCAGATGGAAACTCAAGAACTAGCCTTATGTTCGCACGCAATTATTAGCTTGGTATGTATGTATGTAACGGAATCTACGAACGTGATTATGACCCACTTGAAAACCTCAAATTAAATTGAAACTTCGCACACTTAAATTTGGCCGATTTCCTTGATCAGGATCTTCAGGATTAACTGGTTTTTCCGTACCTAAAAAAAATGGTAGTGTCTTTTGCTACGTACTAAGAGGCGTATGCTAAAGCATATTATGTGACTTTCTTACTTGTTACTTTTTTAGTCCTAATGAGAAAATAATCATCATTAAGGACTAAAAAGCAAAAATAAATTATATTTATACAGAAAACTAAAAAATACTTTTGACTACTTTTACGATAAAATGATTTTTCTTCTCTTACTTAGAGAAAATTATTTTCTACTTTTTGGTTGGGCTAGTTACAAAGGTGTGATTTAAGTTTTTTTTTTAACTATAATTTACTTTTCAATTGAGGATTAGTAATATTAAAAATCATAGATACGTAAAGCCCTTACGACTGCCGACCAAGGCAGGTGCCTTCGAAGATTCCATTACACACATATAATACCAAGCTAAAAGCATGTTTTACAGAACTCTAAAACTCTTTGTTATCAACTATAGCAACTATATCTTCTCTGAGTTAACAGTCGTACTGTCGGAATTCCGGCGACAGCTATTTGAAACCAATTTAATGTATTTTATTGTCTTTCTTACACTCAAACACTACATCATAGACCTAGAGATAGTTATTTGTGGACGAAATTCTAGAGATACTACAAAGAACATGACAGTGCATGAGCGGGAAAACTCTTGTTCTTCTTGTGCTTTAAAGTTGTTTTTTTTTTCAATTTTGTAAACGAATTAAATAATACATACATTCTGATTTGGTAGTCTTTATATTTTTTCTAATTTCTCATACCAAATTAATTTTTAAAACATTCGAAGATAATTAAAATCTCGTCTCGACCTTACCTTTGAAGCTTCACCTTATTAATTACTGCCTTAGTTTAATATTCCCTTTTAGATTTAAAGACTCTGTAGCGCAATTACTTTAATTGCTCTATTGTTATGATTACGTTATTCTTAAAGAGTATCTTATAATTTTAATGTAAGTATGATAACTGAAGTTATTCAAAAATTGGAAGCAGATGTTTAGCACATACCATTTCCAGTTATCTATGATTGGCTAGTACAGAGTAGGCTTGAAAATAAAATGTAATCAATTTGTATTTAACTATCTCTGCAAGGGTTTGTATTTTATAAATATATTAAAAATAAATGAAAAACATTAAATAAATAAAACAAAGATGACATAAGTGTTATGTGAATGAATCTTTAGGAGATGATTCAATGCAAGCAATAGCTTAAAAATAAAAAGTTCCTATAACATTAACACCAATTTACCATCAACCAGAAAGTCCTTAACTGATAAAGGAAAATTTTACACAAAGTTTATCACGAATCTTAACCAAAAATAAGCATTGTGTAACATTTATGTAGCGGTGGGTAATCTAGCTCGGTAAGCAGCAGAAAGTCTATAATCGATGCTTCATTCAAGAGGTAAAGTAAGCCATCAACGACGGAGCTTCTTAGAATCTTAGAAGCTTTTTTTATTTTGTAGAAGGAAGCCCCCTCACTAAAACCACACGGTGTGCTACTCTATGCCTATGATAAGAGGGCTCCGGGAACTGCTGCTTTTAAGAAGTGTTGTGTTTGCGTGGGTACTACGCGTAAGATGACGTCTTCGCAGAAGGATGCAACCGCGGTAGGACCACTATCACTACCGGCCATGGAGCGTATGACGGCCGGTAGTGAGAGATCTCCTCCGATGATTGCAGTGACCCGCCAAATTGCTAGCGGGGCAAATTGCTAGCGTGTGCTGAGCCCGAGTCCTCACTGCAATCGAAGAGGTGACAGGCGGCACTCAATTCCCTCCTAGCGACCGAGTGCAGGTACCTCTCGAAGCAGCAGCCGTGACCGAAAAAAACCTGCGTTAGTCGGAAGGAAAGGGTCCTGTGCTGTCGCCCTGCCCACTCGACGATGACCGGCTAGAGTGCCTAAACGGTGGCAAAACCAGCATGTGGAACCTCCAACCGGGACCACGAACGGACGGACTATCGTAGCTCGAAGAGCAGTCTCACGCCACTCCCGTGCTTCTTCTGGCGGGGGCCGCTAACCGCCCGGAACTCAGTCGTCCGCCGATATACTTCGGCGAGCACTTCCGCCTCCAAATTGCACGGGGGTGTTCCGGCCAACGCCACCGCCACCTAAGTCGACACCGTGCGGTAACCGCCATACCCTCTGGGAACGCCAAAGGCGTTACTGTGTCATTGACCGGACAACGGTCTCGTCACGACGCTGGGTCCACCCAGATCAGGCAAAAGTCGCCCAAAGGCAGACGCAGCGCCGATCAGCTTTGGAGCAAGCTGTCGGAAGTGCTCGTCGAGGAGCCACCTCCTGTCGAGGATCAAGCCCAGATACTTCATCGAGTTGACAACGATTGAGGCGCCAGGGGGGC